CCATCCACCCACCCACCCACTCATCCATCCATCCATCCATCCACTCACTCACTCATCCATCCATCCACACACTGACCCACCCATCCATCCATCCATCCACCCACCACCAATCCGTCCATCCATTCACCCACTCATTACTGATTTATTTAATAATATTTTTTAACTGGCATATGTTAAACTTGTACCAGGCTTTATGGGTGATATAAAGATGATAAAGGAATGGCCCCAACTCCAGTAGCTTGTAGCTTAGTAGGTGAATTAAGATATGCATTCAACTAACTAGGAATTCAGAGCTGATTGAGAGAGCCATTATACAGATGGAAGGTGCTAGGGAATCTAAGTTAGAAATTAGATTTCCAGGACAAGAGATGAGGAGTTAGAGGCTGTTGGCTACCTTCTGGCTACTGGACCCTGGGAAAGTCCACTTTTTCATCCAGTTAGGCAGTGAGAATGCTGGATTATTGGAGCTTTTGGAGCTTCCTGTCACTTTCCTTTGACTGACTCCACACAGATACAATCACACAGGGACCCAGTTCTTTGAAATTAGGAAAATGAGGCCGCTGAGTGGGTAAGTGGTGCATGGTCTGTGGGCTGAGAGATGCCAGCTCTCTTTCCCACCCTCTATCCCTGTCACCCAGTGCACGAATAGCCTGGTCTCTAAAGGATGGGGGTAGGGGGTGCCCCAGGGCCAGGTTGGAGATGGACTTGGCCACTCTGACCACTACGTTCAGCGGTGGAGACTCTGAATGGAGGTGGCGGCTGGTGACATCTCTTGCATGAGCCTCCTTGCCTTGCTCCTGTGTAAGCTTTTGGAAAGCCCCCTGTCCTGGGGCAGTGAGGGGGACAGTGGAAATTTAGCGCTAACCTCCGGGACTCACTCCTGGCGAGGGGCATGGACAATTTAGGATTTTAGTTCTGCCACGTGCAGGTATGTTTTGGAGGCCCCTGGCGAGGTAGGTTCTCCCCTTTCCCTCCATATTCCTGCATGGTGCCGAGTGTGGGGACAGGCACGCGGATGGACCGGCAGACAGACTGATGGACTGCAAGATTAAAGAAGTCCTGAAATTGAAATTCTTTGCTGTGCTTTCTCCTGCAGGTTAATGGAAACAGCAAAAGAAATGACCCGAGAGTCCTTGCCTATCAAATGCCTTGAAGCTGTCATCCTGGGCATGTATCCTTCCAGTTACGTGTACTCAAAAGATGGCAGCCTCACTGTGGGGGCTGGCTCTGCCTTTACCTTCTAGAGTCACAGTGATGGTGCCCATTCTCTCCTTGGAGATAAGTTTCAAGCTTCCCTGGTGCTTCTCTCTAACGTTCAGCATCTGGAGCCGAACCAAATCAAAACTCGGCTCTTGAAGCATCCTCGGTCTGGCCTGTTAGCTGCAGCCTCCATCAGGGCCAGCTGCCAGGCCAGTGACCCTGCAGGTTCACTAGTCACAAGAAGAATTCTAACTGAGAGGAGCAAAGAGAGCATGTGATCATTTCTTGCATTAATCTGACATTGCAACAGAAAAGACACTCCAGTGGAAACGGGTTCAGGGCTGAGAGGGCTGGTGTCAAAACCTGTCTCCAGGGAAAATTGTAGGTGTAAATTTTGGGGGAGACCAAGTAGTGGTGTGACTGGGGACTCCTGCCAGCTTTGGGAGCACAGAGCTGAAACAAGGGACTGGTCTCCCACACTTTCTCTTCCATTTTCCACTGGACTCTTGTCTCCTCAGCCAGAAGAACTGGGATGCCACTAACTTATTAGTGATAATGGCAATAGAAAGTGATCAGGTAGAAGAGCAAAGAAATTCCAAGTCCTCTGGGGTGGCTGATTGGAAGTTGTTAGGTGCTGTTGGGTCGGTTCTGACTCAGTGACCCTGTGCACAACAGAACAAAGCACTGCCCGGTCCTGTGCCATCCTTGCAGTTGTTGCTGTGTTTGAGCCCATTGTTTCAGCCACTGTGTCAGTCCAGCTCATTGAGGGTCTTCCTTTATTTTACTGACCCTCTACCTTACCAAGCATGATGTCCTTCTCCAGGGACTGGTCCCTCCTGATAACATGTCCAAAGTACGTGAGGTGAAGTCTCGCCATCCTCGCTTCCAAGGAGCATTCTGGCTGTCCTTCTTCCAGGACAGACTTACTCGTTCTTCTGGCGTCCATCGTATAGTCAATATTTTTTGCCAACACCATAATTCAAAGGCATCAGTCTTGTCATTGTCCAGCTTTCACACACATATGAGGCTGTTGAAAATACCCTGGCTTGGGTCAGGCGCACCTTAGTCCTCATAGTGACATCTTTGCTTTTCAACACTTTAAAGAGGTCTTTTGCAGCAGATTTGCCCAATGCAATACGTCGTTTGATTTCTTGACTGCTGCTTCCATGGGTGTTGATTGTGGATCCAAGTAAAATGAAATCCTTGACAACTTTAGTCTTTTCTCCATTCATCATGATGTTGCTTCTTGGTCCAGTTGTGCGGATTTTTGTTTTCTTTATGTTGAGGTGTAATCCACACTGAAGGCTGAGGTCTTTGCTCTTCACCAGTTAGTGCCTTGAGTCCTCTTCACTTTCAGCAAGCAGTGTTCGGTTGCTATTCATAAGGTTTTCAACGGCCAGTTTTTTCAGAAGTAGACCATCAGGGCCTTCTTCTTAGTCTGTCTTAGTCTGGAAGTTCAGTTGAAACCCATCCACCATGAGTGACCCTTCTGGTATTTGTATCGCTTCCAGCATCACAGCAACACGCAAACCACCACGGTATGTACGACAGACTGACAGACTAACAGATGCGTGGTGGATGACTGGAAGAGCCAGTGTCAAAGGAAATACAAGACATGAGCTTGAGAGGTGGTTCCAAGTAAGACAAGTTAGGTTCTTGAGTGCTGTGCTAAGAGGTGTGGCCTTTTTCTAAAAGGCAATGAAGATCCCGGATGAAAGCTTGGAAGCAGAGGAGGGATGTGGCCAGGTGTGCACTTAGGTAGGTAGCTCTTGGCGCAGATGTTAAAGGAAGGCTGGGACTGGTGTCTGCAAAGCCAGTTAGCAGCTCTTGTTGTTAGGTGCCACAGAGTGGCTCCGACTCTAGCGACCCCATGTGATGGAGTAGAACCCTTACATGAGGGAAATGGTGATACTTGAACGAAGGCCCTGGTAGTGGGAATGGATTTGAAGGCATGGTTTCAAGAGATATCAAGGAGATGGAATTAACAGGACTTGGAGGCCAGCTGGATGGAGAGGTGATGACGAAGGAGGAATAAAGGTTTCTGGATTGGGTGGCAGTCTTTGGAGGATGGGTTGGAGGAATGACAGTGACAGAGAGGTGAGGTACTTGAGGGCAGATGTGAACTAAGAGCAGCAGTGAAGGTAGAGGAAAGGGAAGGAACCATCAACAATAGTTGCGGACTGATTAAGTGTGAGGAATTAGAGAAGAACTAAGTGATGATTCCATGTTTCTGGAAAATTGGGTGTGTGAGTGATATAGTCCGAGGTGAGGACTTCAAGGGGGGGACTGGATTTATGAGGGGATGAGTTCAGATTTGGACATGTTTGAGGTGCCTGTGGGATGTTGGGGTGGGGACTGGAGTGTGGCACTGAGGAGGACGATCTGCACTGAAAATACAAATTTGGGAGCCATCGTGTTTAAGGGGTGGTAGTTGCTGTTCAAGACCCTGGGTGATGCAAACAGTTTGTGCTCGGCTACTAACTGAAGGGTTGGTGGTTCAGACCCACCCAGAGGCTCCTCAAAAGGAAGGCCTGGCGCTCTACTTCGGAGAAATCAGCCATTGAAAACCCTACGGAGCACAGTTGACGCTGACACACGTGGTGTCGCTATGAATTGGAATCAACTTGACGGCAACTTTTGTTTTTTTTAGTTGCTGTTCAAGGAGTGAGAAGATACAAAGATAAAGGAAAGCCCAATCTTTCTGGTCAAAGAGCCCATGAACGTGACTAAGAAGGTCAGTCAGAGAGGTGGGAGGCAAACCCAGGAGGAAGGAGACCCAGAGGGCCAGGTGATCCCGAGTCGGGCGGGTCTGTCGGGAGCAGTTATTGTCAGCTGCCCTTGAGTCAGCCCCAGCTCCTGGTGACCCCGTGCACAGCAGGACTCAATGTTGTCCGATCCTGTGCCACCCCCGTGATTGGTTGCAGACTGGACGGTAGTGATCCAGAGGGTTTCCATGGGCAGATTTTCAGCCTTTCTTCCCTGCCTGTCTTAGTGTGGAAGCTCTGCTAAAACCTGTTCGGCATCACAGCAACATGTAAGACTCCACGGACAGACGGGTGGTGGCTGCACATGAGGTGCATTGGCCGGGGATTGAACCAGGTCTCCGGCATGGAAGGTGACAGTCCTACCACTGCACCGCCAATGTCTAAGACACGTCTGTGCTGCCTTCCTGGTCTCTGGACATTTTCATAGGAAGGGGCATTTCTGAGCCTCTCTGGCTGCGGAGTATTCACAGACCCATTCTGAAACAAGATTATCCACAGTGCCTTGGCTGACATTTGAAAAACGGACACTTGAGCTTCATTGAGGCCCCTCCCTGGCCTTCCTGCCGTACCTTCCCCCGATCCCCACAAAGGAGATGAACCGTGCCTGGGGAGCCCAGCAGGGGAGCAGGACTGGGGGGTGGGGATGACGGTAGCAGATGGCTCGAGAGGGCCCCAGCCAGCTACAGCTGCTCCGCAGAGCCTCGCGTGTGTTTAAGGGGGGCGAACAATTGGCAGGGGATTTGGCGGTGGGGATCCAAGAGGGAGAACACAGGCCGTTCACAGGGTGCATGCGTGCAGGTCAGCCTCTCTGGGCTGGTGGATGTCAGAGTGACCTGGATATATAGGTCAGTTTATCCGTTAGTCTTGTCCCTGCAGGGTTTTATTAAATCCAAGCATTGGGTTCCTGGAATTGCCTGAACTTTGTGGGTTGTCCGGGCCAGCCCTGTGACCAGCCTGTGGGCCTGTCCAATCCGAGGAGGAGGGTGTGCTCTTAGTTGTCCTTTGCCCCCAACGATGTGACATTGGTGTGACGTTTCAGAAAGTGGCGGGAAGGAGGAGGGTGGAGAAGCTGAGCCCACACTGCTGAACTCAGGGAAATCTGGCTCTTGGACAAAGACGACAAACGCAGGCCTGAATCCTGACCGTTACAGCATCTTTGTCTTTCCCCATTGCTTGGTGTCAGTGTCCCTGTGGCTTGCTTTCCCAGCAGGGACGGTGAAGGCTTTGACCCTGCCTGTGTTCCTGCAGGCCCTTCGGCAGGTCACAGAACGAGCGCGCCTGACACCTTTGACACGGGTAGACTTGGTTCCTGCTTGGAAGCCTGTACCCATTGACTTGTCCTTCCTTGCTTTTTCCTTTTTGACTTTAGCCCAGAGATCAGGATTCGTCAGCCAAGAGCCGCTTTTTTTTATCTTGCTTGAGGACGTGTGTACGCTCTCACATGTGTGCTGTGTAGATAGATCTTTAGCTCCAAATTACCTTCTGAATCGTGGCAACTGTTTTGGGGGTCTCCCTGGTGGGCTGAATCACGGTACTGAAGTACTATGGTTTGTTAAAGTAATAGAGTGTCATTAGAGGTATGATGGGCATACCCCCGGATTTCCCAGGGGCTTGGGGGCACTGCTGATCCCCCTTCCTGGAAAAGCCCAGGCTGCTTCCCTTCCCTCATCTACACTCGTTGTCCCCTCACCCCGTTCCCAGTCGCCCCAGGTCCCGAGACTTACTGATCACCATGGCGATGGAAAAAGTCCCAGCGATCAGTGATGTGTGACTGGTGGTCTCTGTGGTCCCCTCCCCACTCCCACGTGTCCTCCTGGCTCACCTCTACTTGTCCCTAAAACCAACCCCGGCATCACCTCGCCAGTGCCTTCGTCTGTCCTCCCAGAGGTTACTGGGCCTGCCTGCTACAGTACACACCCACTGTGTTTTCCATGTTCATTCTGAGCCTGTCTCCCCCAGACTGTGAGCTCTCCCAGAGAAGGGCTGCATTTGTCATCCTCAGCACCACAGCCTACCTGGCAGGGTATCTGGCCCAGTAGATACTCAGTAAGTGTCTGTAACGCTGACTTAAGCAGCTAAGGAATGCCCTTATTCCAGTCCCAGAGAACTCGCCCCAGAAAGCCAGTGAGAATTTATGTCAGAGGACTCAAGGATGTGATTTCCTGCCTTTTTGCCAGTCAGTCTCACATGATGAAGGAAGAGAAGCGTGTCGACATTTTTCTAGAGAGGAGCCATCTGTGATCAAACTGCAGGCACAGGTCAGGCCGGCCTCAATGCTGGCATCCCTTAGCATCTTTTAAGGGTGCTTGGGTTAGCCCCTGGAGTCCTGGTGGTGCAGTGGTTAAGAGCTCGGCTGCTAACAAAAAGGTCAGTAGTTGGAATCTACCAGCCTCTCCTTGGAAACCCTATGGGGCAGTTCTACTTTGTCCTAGGGCCGCTGTAAGTTGGAATTGACTTGACGTCAATGGATTTGGTTTGGTCTCCAGAAAAGCTGGGTCTAAACCAAACCAAACTGATTGCCGTTGACTCAATTCTGACTCATAGCGACCCTATAGGACAGAGTAGAACTGCCCCGTAGAGTTTCCAAGGAGTGGCCGGTAGATTCCAACTGCCGACGTACCAAAGCCAACTTTGTAGTAAGTCCCTGAAAACATCAAGTGAATCTTTTCTAAGAGAGTTATCCTTAAAGGTAACACGTGGCCGCTTGGAAGCAGGAAGATGTACTCACTGACCCTGTGGGCCAGTGTCCTTCCCTGGGAGGCCAAAGCTGGTGAATTTTCCAGGCCTCCTTCCTCTTCCTTGACTCAGATCGTCCAAGATACTTAACCAACGGGCAGCCTTCCATCGAGCGATTCCCCATCAGCTTTAAAACCTATTTCTCAGGAAACTGCTTTCACCACGTCGTGCTGGGGATCTACTGCAATGGCCGCTACGGCTCCCTGGGCATGAGCCGAAGGGCCGAGCTGATGGACAAGCCGCTGACCTTTCGGACTCTGAGTGACCTCGTCTTTGACTTTGAGGACTCCTACAAGAAATACCTGCACACAGTCAAGAAGGTCAAGGTTGGGCTGTATGTCCCCCACGAGCCTCATAGCTTCCAGCCCATTGAGTGGAAGCAGCTGGTTCTCAACGTCTCGAAGATGTTGAGGGCTGACATAAGAAAGGAGCTGGAGAAATACGCCAGGGACATGAGAATGAAGGTAGGTGCGGGGAAGACGTGGGCCCTGGTGCCGCAGCGGTTAAAGCGCTCTGCTGCAACCCAAAAGGTTGACAATTCGAACCCAGCAGCAGCTCTGGGGGAGAAAGACCTAGTGATCTGCTTCTGTAAAGATAACAGCCAGGAAAACCCTATAGTGCACTTCTACTCTGTCCTATAAGTCGCTCGGAGTCGGAATGGACTCCACGGGAGACAGCAACAGCAGGGAAGACAGATGAGGGACGCAAGAGAGCCTCCCCGTCATTGCCTCCCTCTCCTCCCTCCCGCCCTCGCTCTTGCCACGTGCCCTGCGTATCTGGGATGGTCAAAAGTTTCTTGACATTCTCTTGCTCACTGACCATCCTAGTAAAACAAGAAGATAAGTCATTTACTGTTTGACTTGCCAAGTAAACTCTCTTTGCATATGTTATTGTCAGGCGCCGTGGAGTCAGTTCCGACTCATATCGACCCTGTGTGCAACAGAACAAAACACTGCCTGGTCCTGCGCCATCCTCACAATCATTGCTATGTTTCAAAAATCAGAGCTAAAACCATTTTAGATATTACAGTTAGAGCAATGTCTTGGTCTCCAATTCTTTTTATGAAATCAAATCCAAAATCTTAGTCATTTTATAATGGAGCTCTAGTTTTGTTCTGTTTTGACCTTATAATAGGTGAGCAGCCATCCCAGTTTTCCCAGAATAGAGGGGTTTCCCAGGACATGAACTTTTCAGTACTAACATCAGGAGAGTCCCGGGCTAAGCGGGGTGAGCTGGTCACCTGACTTTACAGGGTACAGAGTCACATGATATCTCTGCTTTGCTCTGTGACTTGCAAAGCCCTTTGGTGTAGAGTTCTGATCTGGTGTCACAGTGACAAGCAAGGGCGCAGTCACTGTGCTCGCCCCATGAAGCCTAGACTCATAAACCCTTCTCTCCACCAGCGTCCTTTCCAAGGTGACGCGATGCCCCTTGTCCTGTCACTCCAGGGCCGTGAAGTCACTGGGCGAAGCCTTGTGCACACACTGAGGGGAAAAGGATTATGCTGACCGCAGGCTTGCTTAGGGTTAGCACCTGAGGACTCGTCACTGTCCCTCCAGGGCCGTGGAGTCACTGGGCGAAGCCTTGAGCACACACTGAGGGGAAAAGGATTATGCTGACTGCAGGCTTGCTTAGGGTTAGCACCTGAGGACTCGTCACTGTCCCTCCAGGGCCGTGGAGTCACTGGGCGAAGCCTTGAGCACACACTGAGGGGAAAAGGATTATGCTGACTGCAGGCTTGCTTAGGGTTAGCACCTGAGGACTCGTCACTGCCCCTCCGTGGGGCCTTGAGTGGAGATTCTCTGCATGTGCGTGGATGGGAGAGTTGGAGGAAGAGTAAGCTGGTTTCTGGAGCAGTGTAGAAGGGACACTGCCTTCATGAGGAGAGGAACTTGCCAAGCATTCAGACACAGCCCGGGAGGTTGATACTCTGGGCTCTGTCCCTCTCTCTGGCGTGGGAAGGGCGAGGAGCATGTGATCATCCACAGTGCCCTCTGGGAAGTGGCACCTTGCTTCCTGCCAGTGCAGAATGAGAGAGGAACACCTCTGTCTCAGGCCCCCGCCTTTGGAAGCCTTCCTGCTCCGTGGCTTCTCAACTATGGAATGGTGATGGGCTGGGGGCTGTGCTATAGGAGACATGAGGGTGAGCTCCTTTAGAAATTGGTGTGGTGACTCCTCCTGTCTCCCTCAGATCCTGAAACCTGCAAGTGCCCACTCTCCCACCCAAGTGAGAAGTCGGGGAAAATCCCTGTCCCCCCGAAGGAGACAGGCCAGCCCACCGAGACGGCTTGGCAGACGAGACAAATCGTGAGTAATATTTCCTCCTCCCCAACTCAAGGCCAAACTCACACTCTCCTGGGGCTGTCCTGACCCTTGGGGACAAAGCTGTGTCCTGGGCTTGGCACTGGACCCAGACAGTGATCTCCAAGATGACTGCTCCTCACTCAGGGGACAGCTTTTGTGGAAACGGACCCACTGTGTGTGTCAGCCCATTGCTCTTACTCTACACACAGTCAGCCCTGCACACAAATGGGGAGAGGCTCCAGACAGCATGAGAGGAAGACTAGCCTGAAACCAGGCAGCAGGGAAGGGGCATTGGACCTACAAGTAGGACACCTGGGTTTTGGAACCAGCCCGGCTACTCACGAGCTGTGTGAGCTTGGGCATGTCATGTCATCTTTCTGGGCTTTTCTCACCCATGAAATGGAGTTGTTAGAATTTGTGAACTTCCCTAAAATTTTCTAGTCTTCTGAGCCTGCAGAAAGTGTGGTCGCCATCAGCGGATAGTGCCATCAGAAATACCCACAGGTTCATCCTCCTCCTTGACCAACTCTACCCTCCCCCGCTGAGGATGGTTTCAGCACAGGTTTGTCCTTTTAGGGAGCGGGATGGCTTCAGACATTTCTTATGTGGCCTCCGGACCCTCATCCGATGCTGACCACCACCCCCGCCCCCCGCCCCTCGCCCCTCGCCCAGCCCTGTCTCTCTTCCTCTCCGATTCAAACATCCATTAATTGCCGTCACTGAGCAAGGTGGCAGTTGCCTCAGAGGACTATGAGCATAGAAACCCTTCCTGGAGGCCAGTTAGCATAGAGTGAGTGACCCAGAGACAGGAATCCGGCCGCTCACAAAGCAGGGGAGGGGGACCCTTTGATCTGATTAGTTCTCCTAGCTGTCAATCTCCAGCAGAAGTTGAGCACACTGCAAGGTCAGGTTCTTCCCTTAGACCCCAGGGTCCAGAGCGCGTGAAAGCCTAGCTCTGCTACCTACAAAGGGTTTATGCACAGAATAAGAGCTGCTGGTTTTTAAGATGACTCCTGTTTGGATCCATTTCACTTGAGTCCACAGGGACTGCCAGGTCAGAGGTGTGTTAGGTTTATAACCAGAGAAAGTTACCGTGATTTTCTGGGCGTGGTGAAGTCAATAAGATCAGACAAACAGGCTGTGGGGGCGAACGTCAGGATGATAAGCTAGGCGGCGGTGGTTTTTGTTGCTGCTGTTGTTCGAGAGAGGGGAGGAGGAACACGAGTTTGAGTTGGGACTATGGAATATGAGGTGCTTCTTAGGCATCCGGAAGGAGTGTCTAGAAGCTGCTGAAAATGCACACCTGGAGTTTGAAGAAGTTGGGGAATAGAGATTGGAGCCATCTAATGGTGACATCCAAGAGTGACAGTTGCAGTGATAGCTGGATAAGTTTATGCGGAAAGAGAGGAGAGAAAAAGAAGTGAGGACAAGGCCCTGAGGAGGCCAAGGAAGAACCAGGATAGGAGATGAGGAAGGGATAAGCGGAGAGACTGGATCCAGGGTGTGATGGAGCACACCTGCGTCTGCAGAAGACAGCCACTAGATTTGAAGAATTCCAGAGGACGAGGGCAGAGGTGCCAGATCCTGAAGACACGGAGAAGCAGAAAAGGCTGTGCCATCTGGTGACTTTGAGGGGTGCAGTGTTGAAAGTGCTGAGGGGGTAGAACCAGATGGTGGGAGGGAGTGTGAGCAAGAGGGGAAGGAGCAGCCAAGGCTTATTTTCTCAACAGTGAGCACTGAACGGAGATTCAGGAAGCCTGATCGCTAACCCCCCAACAGCCGTAAGCTCCTTGGGACTTTAGGCAAGCCTCTTACTTCTCACCTGTGCAGGGGAGGGAGTTAGAGTGGATTATTCTAAGCAGTTTGTAAAAGGTATAGAGTTCCTTGGGGGCTTTCCCTAGAACTGGAGAGATCAGAGTGTCTTTGCAGGCACAGGAGAAAGAACCATGAAGAAGAAATTAAAGTTCAAGGAGGGATAAGTTAATGGAGCAAAATTTTTGAGTTTGATGAGATCAGAAGCTACATTGTTAGCTTAGAGAGGAGCAAGAGGGTAGGAGCAAGGAAAGAGGGGAGATTAGGGAGTGTTTTAGGTAGGTGAGGGGGTAGAAGTTGTTGGACTGTACATTAAATGGCCTTTATTCTGCCAGAGTTGGAATGAGCTCAACAGCAATTGGTTTTTGGTTTTTATGCCAGTGACGGAGGCTGAGTTACCTAGTTAAGAATGAGGAGGAGAGGACAGATTATTAGTTCGGGGTGAAGAAAGGGCACACACAGAATGAGAGCCCAGCTGGGGATGGCTGGTCCTGTGGTCCAGATCTCAAACCCGAGGGAGCATCAGAATCACTTGGAGTGTTTTCTACAATGCAGATTGCTGGGCCCCACCCCAGAGCTTCTGATTTGGCAGGTCTGGGTGGGGCGTGAGAATGCATTTCTAACAAGTTCCCAGGTGATGCTGATGCTGCTGGTTGGGGGCCACACGTAGACCCACCGACTGATCCCACCTGCAGACTTCCCGCTGCGTTTGATTGACTAGGAACAGCAGCACTGAGTTGGTGTCGACCTAAGAAAATAAGATGTCACGATGAAGGCAGTGGTTCTGCTGAGGGGACAGAGGAGGCCATCAGCTGTGACGACTCAGGGGCTCGGCGTTGTCTAGCTTTGTCTGGTCCTGCGGGTAATGAAGTTGCTGAGGTGAAGTCAGAGGGTCTGGCCTTAGCCTGGCTCTCAGGTTTGGACCCCACTGAAGTCAGTCTGGGAAGGGTCCACTTTGTCATTTTGCGGACAGTCAGATAGAGAAACGCAGTCCTCAGTCACCTGTTCGCCCATGCTGCATACCCTAACCTCTGGCTACTTTGTTGTGCAGCCAAGGCACGCGATCACACCTGCCCCCGCAGAAGACAGCTGTTAGCCTGCCGCAGTTGTGAGTGCACCGTACCTTCTAATGTCAGGGCCCCACTCACCCTCTCTCCTCCTGCCCTTCTGAGGTCAGACTGCCCACCTGAAGCTTCAGAGTAGGCCTGGGAGTGGGGAGAAAGACTAGGGAGAAGGAAGTGGCCCCCAGAGGAGTCAGGATGGAAGGCTTGCAGGGAGATGGGGATTCTTTCCATCACCCTCCTCCCTCCATGCCCAGAGGAAGTCGATCCCCAGCCCCAGACGGGGAGGCCTCAGGAGCACCAGGGTGGTTGCTCCAGCTTCAGTGAAAACATAAGCTTTTCAAAAGTGGTGAGGAGTGGCTGCAACAGCTCCTGAACCTCCCAGACCCATGACCTGTCCTGAAGCCCTTTCTCCTGGGTAGAGAGAACAGATCCCTGGGAGTCTTCCTTCATAAACTCCTCCCAGTAGTCTGGAAATCTTGTTGTTTTTTTTTTTTTTTACAAGTGGGGCCAGGTGGCCTTGAGCCAGTTTGAGCATCGAAACACTAAGTGGGAAGGGGAGCCCAGGTGGCTTTTGGGTCTGTCTGGACAATTTCATATGCGCAAACCCAGTAAGACCATGGTTATTTTTGGTGGCATTTCTCGTCTCTATTCCCAGTGTTTGGAGGTTGGGTAGGGAATCAAGAGGGCGAATATCTTGGCTGAAGTTTCAAAATAGATTGAGGGGGTATGGAGAAGATCCTCTTCCCAATTCCTCCTAACCCTGACTTGTGCATTACGGGCCTGGGGAAGAGACCGCAGGGGCTTTGTGTAAGAGGAGAGGGAAGAGAAATGCAGAAGATGAAAGGAAAATGAAGGGTTGTGAGAGCTGGGGACCAAAGAGGGGCTGGAGCACAGAGCCCCTCCTTCCCTCTCCAGATGCCTGATTCCGCCATTGCCACAGACTAGAGCCCAGGACACCTTGGTTCCTAGAGGGATGCCTGGAGAAAAGCAGCTTCTCAGCTGCTGCCCGTGGCTTCCAACAAGCATGTTTTTCTCCAGGTAATGTTGCTTTTGGCGAGGAAATGAGAAAGTGATCCATGTGATTATGACCCAACAACTCCACCAAACTCTGGGACTCCTTCTGCAGGATGGTCCAGACAAGGAAGGGTTTGATGGCTCCATCAGTGTGTTTTTATTTCAGTGTTACATAAGGCCATCAAGTCATTTCTAAATGTGTTGGGTGCCATCATGAAGCTTGGGAGTGGCCTAAGGGGTGGAAAATTACCACAATAGGCGGGAAGCCCATCAGCTGCGGCGTCCCGTCCCCTGTCTGTGAGTAGATAATCTTAGTGGCTTTCTGTCCCCATCCACCTCCTCCCTACAGCTGGGGCTATTTCCAGCCCTAGATTCCCCTCCATTTTTGCACTTATCTGAATAATCCTTCTAGAAAGGAAGGAGGATCAGTGTCACTGGGTTGACAGGAGAGAGCTGAGTGGGAGGTCAGGCAGCAGCAACTGCACTAGCATCCGCGAGACAGACTTCCAAGAGGGAAGTGGGGACTCCCACCCCTCCACCCATGAGTCTTTTCTTATACTCTCCCTCTCGGGAGTGTTGAAAGCATCTTCCACGCAGAACAGTCAGACTTTTTCCCCGTGGTTCTTAAAGAGACGGACTTGGAGGTTGAGCTCCCATGTTTAAAAAGCCCTCTGTGAACTTAAACCAGCTCCTCCACAGCCCTGGGCTTCACTCCTCTCACTGAAGGGAGTTCAGAGTGGTTCTCAACCACGGCCAGGGCTGCCCTCTTGGGGTGGGAGGTTAGAAATGTGATGGAAGGGAGAATTTTTGCTTATCATAGTGATAGGGGGTACTCCCCACTCAGGTGTAGGGGCCAGAGATAGTCACTTCCTGCAAAGCTCAGGACCATCCTGCCCAATAAAGAACTGTCCCATCTAAAATGCCAACTGTGTACCATTACTGAATGTTTTGGTCAAAGATTCTATAGAAGAATCCTGATCCAAAGGGGGAAATGAGGAACAGAATTTCAAATTCTCATGGAATCCAGACTTTCTGGATCCAGTGAGGCTGGATGAAACCCCGAAACTATTGCCCTGAGATAATTTGTACACCTTAAACCAAAAATATCCCCTG